TAACTCACTGACTGAGATCGGCTACCCTGCTGCGTTCATCAAAAAGTACATGTATGATACAAGGAAGAAATCAGAGATTTTAACTGTTCGTAAGAAGCCTCTATACATGAAATTACCATTCAACGGGGATGTAGCTAGTGAAACTCTGAAAGATAGGTTAACAAAAGTAATTAGTAGAACTTTCTACGCAGCCTATCTTGCATTGACTTTCTCGAGTCGACCAGTGATGTCTACTCAAACGAAGGATAAGTTACCTGAGTTGGCCTCCTCCATGTGCATTTATAAGTTCAGCTGCTCCTGTGGAGATAGCTATATCGGGCGTACTACTAGGCAACTTAACCAACGAATGAGTGAACATCTACCAGCATGGTTTGGAAAGGGCCAAATAAAAACAATACGCAGTTCTATCTTGGCACATCTAATTGATAGTGGTCATATTGTCGATAAATTGAAATCATTTCAAGTGATCTATCGTATACCTCCATCGTTTCCCAACGGAGTTCGCTCCCGTCTACTTCATATAGCAGAAGCCATAGGGATTCGTACATTCCATCCCAATTTATGTGTACAGAAGAAATTCGTAACCCCCCTCTCCCTTCCATGGCCGGACATAACTTAATAATTGACATTATTATTATTTGTAAAAATTTTTATTTTGGTTATCATTTTTTGTTTGTTTGTAATTTTCTACCTCTTTCCGTTTGTATTCTTCACTATCTATTTACTTACATACTTCTTATTACGTAATGATTTTAATGTTTTGTGATTACTATTCCAGACTATTTACCCACGTTTGACCTCTTAATTCTTATGTTTAATTATTGATAAGACTTTTTTTATCATAATTTACTATTCTTACTACTATCAGTACACCTGTCTTCCCACTATCAACTTGTACTTTTAACTATTATTATGCTTGGTAACGTATTCTATTTCATTGTGATTATTATTGACTCAAATAGCCTTGATTGGTCTAACATTTTCATATAAATATTCATGTATATTAGAGTAAAGCCTGATGACGATCTAATTGAAAACAATTGTTCGCTTACATATGTTGTTCTAATTTTCACAATGGGAATCTTTAATATTATACATCTTAATAACCAACATCGTTCTTTTGGTAGCCAAGGTAAATCTCAAGGAACGAACGGTTTGTTCAGTCTAGAAAAGTTTGTTTGGTGAACTTGTGATGAGTGGAATTTCTCTATGAGATGTTGCCCGTATTCTCATGTTTGGACTCTTCTATGAACTGGTCTCAAATGCTACAAAACTATGGAGTTGAGTTAAAGATAGTATTTTCTCCGTTAAGTTTGATTTCTCTACATATATTCAAAAGTTTTTACTATTTCTTTAGGTGCATTTTGTTCGCGTTTTTCAATGATTTTTCCAGCGCGGAACATGACCCGACCTCTTAATTCGTCCAAAACCCTCCGGAATCCCATAGTATGCCTAACGCGACTATGGTCACTACTCCAAACAACGTCAACGATTGGGTACAGGCCGTAAGCAAAAAACGACAAAACGACCTAAAAGGAAATCCTTGCTCCATAAAAGTAGTCGAGAAATCAAAGACTGATCACAGCGACAGGTCAGCTATTTTTCATAGAATCAAGCAAAGTGGAAGCTCTGAACCGAAAGCTCGTTTTGAACATGAAATTGTGTTGATAAAACAGCTACTCAATCAAGTTATGCCCCAAAATATCTCCGGAGTCCCCTTTGCTAAAGGTGTATAGACTAGGTAGCCTGGCAAATTTGAAGCCTAATCAGTTCGGACTGTTTCGAATAGTATTCAAATCTCCAAATGAATGCGACCTAATCTTAAAAAATTTATATAAATTAAAGGGTTCAGGAGTTTTTCTCCGTAAGGACTTACCGCTGGCAGACTGTGTAAAAAGACGGGAAGCCGAAAAAGGACTACAGCTCAGATTAGACGCTGGCAAAAAAGACATAAAAATTGTAAATTTTCGGGTTGTGAGGCGAAGCCACTCTGGGTGAAGCACGAGGCCACTTAAATAGGCTTCGGATCTGTCACACCAATGCTCGGAGATTGCTGAATAAGCCGTCGGAACTAGGTGTTCAAATTGACTCTGCTAAGCCAGACATAATCGCAATCACAGAAACTTGTCTGACGCAGTCTACAGATAGTAGGGAACTTGATCTCGAGGGTTTTACATTAGTAAGAGCTGACAGAATACAAAAGCGTAAAAGAGGTGGAGTAACTCTATTAATTAGGAATGCTATTCTATTCGCCATTATCGATAGTGTATCCCACGAGAGTGGGACATATTAATTAGTTAGTTGCCGCTTTAAATGCACGGGACAAGAACTGCTGCTTGGTTTGATATATCGTAGTCCAAGCTGTGAGGTAAAAGAGGTCCTGCTAAGCAGTCTCAACACTTGATCACGAAGTGATCGATGTCTTATCCTAGGGAACTTTAATGCACCCATGGCAGACTGGGGAAATCTGCGACCTGAATCATCAGATAATTCCTTTGAACAGGAACTAGTTGATGCGGTTATCAACTGTGCCCTGGTGCAACATGGGAAAGAAGCGACTAGGTACGACTCGGGCTCTGAATCATCCTTACTAGATCTTATATTGACTCACTATGAGGATGACGTTGAGAACCTGGATTACATGCCACCCCTAGGCAAAACTGATTATGCAGCTTTAAGCTTTGACTGTCGATCACAAGCACGCGTTAGCTGACTCTAGACCTAACGTCTGGAAAGCAAACATACAAGACATCATGCACTCAGCATCGTCAGTAGATTGAACAATAGACCGAGAGTCCTCAATCGCAACGGCTTGGGACGTATTTCGAAATTTATAGTGAAAAGTTACCGCCCCTTACATCACTTGGACTACACCTAGGGGGCCGAGAAACTCTCCACCATGGTTCAGTAGGAAGGTTCGCATCCTTCTCCATAAAAGAAGGAGAATTTGGGATAGATTTAGGTCACTGGGGACTGATGAGGCAAAATATCAGTATCAAAAAGCTTGGAATACCCGTGCCTCGACCCTCCGTAAGTCCAGAAATCTGTATGAATAGAAAATCGTTAAGGAATCCATACAATGCCCTAAACGCTTGTATTCGTATATAAACCAAAGGACAAAATGAAGAAATGTCCCTTCACTATGGGGAGACAGTACTTCGTCATCACTGGTGGAGGATGACCTTGGAAGAGTTCACGTATTCTCAAAATACTTTAGCAATGTATACACCATAGAAACACACTTCCCACCAGTCCATGTAAATCTCCCCCACAAAAACACTGGACAGCGTGACTATTAGAGAACTCGATGTCTTCGGTCTGCTAAATGAGCTTAAAATAGGCAAATCCACTGGACCCGGTGAACTGCATCCCAGGTTACTAAAGGGACTAGCTAACTTTGTTGCAAACCCTTTAAGTATATGTTTTAATCTGTCCGTAACCCAGGGTCGTCTACCAAAAGACTGGAAGAATGCCATAGTAAGTCCTGTCTTCAAAACAGGCACAAAACATAAACCTCAGAATTACCGACCCATTAGTATAACTAGTGTGGTTATTAAAATCTTAGAAAAGATTATTCGGAAGGAGCTGCTTAGGTACCTCAGTGAAAACCGGATACTTTTGGAGAAGCAGCATGTTTCCAGAATAGATTATTCTGTCTCACTAACTTCTTAGTCGCTCGTGAAAGCTGGTCCGCTCTCAAGGACCAAAAGTTAACTTTAGACGTAGCCTACATCGATTTCAGCAAAGCTTTCGACAAACTTCTGTACAACCAACTGTTATATAAGCTAAGGAATGTCGGGATTGGAGGCAATCTATTGGTCTGGATAAAAGACTTCCTAGTTGGGTGTCAACAAAGAGTAAGGGTGAACTTCAAGTTGACTGGATGGGAAATTGTGCCTAGTGGAGTCCCCTAGGGTACAGTTTTGGGGCCAATGTTATTCTTCTTGTACGTAAATGACCTCCCTCGTCTACTATCGTCATCAGTCTTGCTATATGCTGACGATGTCAAGATATGGAGAGCGATACAAAGTAAAAGTGAAATTATCTGAATGGTCGCAAACCTGGCAATTGTCGATAAACACTTCCAACTGTATTGTGATGCATATCGGTCATCAAGGTACAGATACATACACGATGAATAACACTGAGTCACCTGTTGTCCAGACACACAATTAATAAAGAGTCATCGTAAGCCAAGATTTCAAGACTACTGCACACTGTCGTGCAACAGTCACCAAATGTGTTAGAAGTTTGTGGTCAATACGTAGGGCTTTGAGTCATATCGACGCAAAAACGTTTTTGACTTTGTATACAGTGTTCGTGCGTCTTAAACTTGAGCACTGCATACGAGCGGCTAGCTCCTGTTTAAAAAAATACAGTGAGCTCTTGGAAAGGGTTCAGAGAACAGCAAATAGGCTGATTCTCGGAATAGCGAAGCTCCCGTATTATACAAACCGACCAAGCTAAACCTATTCCCTCTGTCATATCGAAGAATCAGAGGCGACTTGATTACAGTTTTCAAATTGGTTAATGATAAATTTGCACCTGATATGCCCTCGTTTTTCTTGTCTTCAGAAGCAGGAAATCCACGAGGACACACCAAAGATGTTCACAAACCCAGAACGAATTACTTGTCAGCTGACTATTGATTTTCTCATCGAATCATCAACGAGTGGAATTCATTACCTCAGCACGTGGTTGAGGCTCCATCCGTCGACTCCTTCAAAAGAAAGTTGGATCAGCTGAGAGAACATCACTGCCAGGACTAACACAGGCCATCAAGCCTCCTGTTCTTTCCAAGCTGAAACTGAAACTGAAACTTTTGTTAACTATCAAAGAATCATTTTCTGTAACCATTGTGTTCTTGTCTATCCGAGTCTAGTCCTGAAGACAGTTGTCCTCTTCTTATTAGCGAAACTAAGGTTCACACAGTGAATTCTTTTAGTTTTCATATCACTATAAAGTCTGGTATTTTGTTTATACTTGTTGACCTGGCCTTGAAATCAACAAGCGCTGTCCCCAGGTTGTTTCGTTTTCGTCGTTACTGGCTCGACGTGTGGTTCGCTTATGGCGTTGGCTAGTGATCTTTTGTCAACTTTCAAGAAGGATTTAGAGAATCTCAAAGACAATGATAAGTACAAAATAAATGCTTTGACTATCTTTGCGCGCGATCATAAAGATGCCATTGGGGTTGCTCAGAGCATTGTGGATCTTACGCTTAAGCATGTTCAAATGGTGAGTTGTTTAGTATCTTCCACCTTTTATGTCCTGTGCATAACTGTACAGATGAAAAAAAGAACAATAAATGTTTTTGTCAGTTTTGAATTTTTTGTATCATATGGGTGCTGGGTTTGGGCGAAGCGATAACTAATTGCTTAAGCGCTTAATCTAGCCTTCGTATGCGATTTGTCTATTAATAGTCGTGTAGAATCTCGTGAGACGCATATTGATTAGGTAGCGTTGTAGGTTTCACGAAAATCGGGTTGTTTTTGGAATACAGTTATCAAACCTTTTATTACAGATACCGGCAGGATTGAAGCTACTTGGCTTGTACGTAATCGACTCAATAGTTAAAAATGTAGGTACACCCTACAGAAAGTTGTACACCGTGGATATTGTTGATGTCTTTGTGCATTCCTTTCAATCGGTAAGTTACAACGCGGAAATTGTCTTAATGCTCTATTTAGATACGAGATGAGAAGGGGCGTTTAAAACTGTACAATCTGAGGACAACATGGAAAGATATATTTCCGAATTCTAGGATGTATGAATTGGATATTCGAGTGCGTGAGCATGATCCAGCTTGGCCTCTTTTGGCCAGCGCTCCCGAAGCAAAGGCTGCGTTTAGATCTTTACCAAATGTCCCAAAAATACAAACTAAAACGGAACCTGTGGTAGTTAATGTCAAGCAGGAAGCAAAGGAAGCTTCATTGACAACGAAAACTGTCATCTCGGCCTCACGTGATCCGCGGCTCAATCGGAAACGAAAGTCACCTCAAGAATCTCATTCGTCTGAGGAGTACCTTATCGACCGTTCAGGGGATCAAAACATGGAGTCAGTTGCTCGAAAACAAGGTAAACAGGCAGATGCTAGTGAGTCGTCTAAGAAGGTTATGTTGTTTGGTGGTGAAGACTGTGATATGCGTTCACAAAACTCTGTACCAGCTTCTCCCGCTAGATCATCAGGTTGGTCAGATTACATCGGAAAGCATAGTGAAGTCTGTTCTCGACGGGAGACAAAAGACATAGATATGCGTTTTGCTTTGTCAGACCCTCCGCTTGCCTGTTCTCCGAGTTTTAGTATTTCTGAAAAGATATCGAAAGGACCATTAGATGTACTTGTTATTAATAAACCTGACGCCACACCAACAATCTCTCCTGTATCCAGGCACAACACATCAGAAGAACGCTTTCCACCGAGTGAAGTACAGTCTGGAAAAGGCTTTGGTAGTTCTAACCCAGATTTAAAATTACGTCCTGAGATTTTGAAGTCTGAAAATATTCCACCTCGATACTCCAAAGTAGATAATTTCGTCCCAGTGAAGGAACATCACCCACCACCTCGCATTACAGATTTCCCCAGAGATAGACCACAATTAACTTCATCCTTCCAGCCACCTGCAATCCCACCTCCTCGTGGGCCACCGATTCGTGGTCCTGTATGGAGTGTTGAGATCAATGGATTTCCAGACATGGTTAATATTGGCGTCGATCCACGAATGCTTAGTCTTGTAACCCATCCTAAGCCACCCAGACGGATAACTATTGATGGTCAACAATTCACATTGTTGTTAGATAGAGTTCAACCATTAATAGCAATTGGGGATCGCATACATGCTGTACGATTCCGGTGTGAGTTTGCTACTATTGTTATTGATGGTCATTGTTTCAACATTCCTGGTACAGGTTTTACGCGTGTTTCCATTGGACCCAGATTCTATGTGGCATACCTAGGTGGTCCGGGTCATGAGCTTGTCATCGATGGTCGTCCACACACTGTCCCTACAACATCCCACCTAACTTTTATAAATGTCGGTCTCCATTCAGTTGGTGTAAAATTTGTTGGAAACGTACCAAGGAACGTCAATGTTTTACCACCTATTCCTCCTCGTCTACTCAAGTGGGCAGGTCAAGGTTTGTTTGGTTCACCTAAAAACCTGTTTATGGCACCACTCAACCCAATCAAGGAACTTGCACGTCTTGCCGAACATGGATATAGTTCAAGAAACCATGCTACCTTTGTAAACAGACCTGTAGGCAATGGTAAGCGACCGTCACCTATGCGTCCCTTAGATGCTCCAAATAGCAGTAACCAAAGTAATGGACAGAAATTACCAGAGTTTGTCAACCCAGATATCCCTAATAAGAGCGAAAAACCTATTGCAAACGAAAATGAGAGCTCATCAAATACAAGTGCTCCGCTTAATATAGATGTACATGAGTTATTCCAAAAGTTGGTTAAAGCTGGTATAGTACCTAATACGGAACATGAAAAAAAAGCAGAGCCTCCTGAGCTAGGGAGCTACAGCTGGGAGCGTTTTAAGAATCCGTTCGGTGTTGAGATTGACGAATTATATAATGGTCACCAATGTGGTCAGTGTGGTCTGCGTTTCCAAAGTGACCTCTCACCGGAGTTTGCGAAGCACCTCGATTATCACTATATGAAGAATTCGAGTTATGGACAAGAACGACGCAGCCGTAACTTCTATCAACCATTACAGTATTGGCTAATTAGTGAAATGACACGAGAAGGTGCCCCTCAATTCGAGCCTGGTAGTCCAATCCATGATTTACAAGAGTACAAATGCACAGCATTCGCGGATCCGTCGAAAAATGTAAGTCACTTTCAGTTATCACTTTCGTTTTCACTTTTTAACTTCTCACAGGTCACACTGGATAACATTTCTGCCTTTGTGGGATCCCACTAGACAAAACAGACCGTAGAACTTGACAAAGTAAAAACTACTTGAATAATTGTCAGAATGCGTTATAGGGCAGTAAAAAGATATCTGCAGGTATGAATCAGGAAAAGAGATTGGAGTATTATTAGCTTCTCGTTGAGTACTAATAAGTGAAATCATCGTGAATTATACTATCCTAGGATCTCACTCGGTTTTTCGCTCGTGCACTGAAATCTTATTTCTTTTAATGGTTCCAAGAACGTGCTCTTGGTAAAATGAAAGTCAGACTATGCCACGAAGTGCGCATTTAGACTTTATCGTAATACTGATATCTCGTAAGCGTTACTAGGTTATCGGTGGGGTTTTTTCATACTCAACAGTTTTATAAATAGTACTTCTTAAATTAACCTAAACCTAATAGAATAGATTTAACCTTGTGAGAGTAATCTTATTGAAACCTCTGGATAGCTATCATAGGCTTTACAGAACGAGTACTCCCTGCTCAGCATTCTTATATATTCCGGGTAACGGTGTTGGAGAATTTTCATTACTAAGACTTCTATCTCTTCCTAATAAGGCGGATGATATATTATAAAATACTAACAGTTACAAAGTCATCGGAAATCTGGAGTTCAATTCTAGATATTCTTTAGAATGACTCAATGTTATCCTCTGAAATACGGTTAGTCAATAGATAATCAGTAGTCCTATGTTTATCGTACTCAATGGTATCTAGAACAAACAAATTTTAAATTGCTGGTCGCGAAACACGATTCCTACCTTCAAGTAACGTGATACTCTGGTGGTTTACATTCTACCGTTTAGACATTTTGCGTAGTGTTTTATTGATTGTTTTAAGCTTCCTACGTTTTGTAAATTGCGATACTCAGCGTTCTAATTTATTGTCGTTTGTAGGTGCTTGGTTGGAATGTAATTATATTCCTCAGCTTTTAAAATTAATCTTAAAAGTCGTAACGACACAATTTGCATTAGCTCCGCTTAGTTTAGGTGATAAAGTGTTCATCACCGTAGCGGACAATATGGTAATCGCGTTTATCTGCGTGTCGATCGGTATGTAGTAACCCATTGTTTCATATATGTGTATGGAATGGTAGGCTGTTACTGCCGTGTTGTTCGCGATAGGAGCAAACGATTTCTGTTGATGTTAGTTTTCTCTCAGGAAGGTCACCATTAGACAACGTTCTCTCGTCCTAATTGTTATCCCCCGTAAAAGAAGAAAACTTGGTAAAGCAGTGAGGATTGGTTCATAAATGCGAGTGGGAGTGACTTCGGTCTCATTGCTGTGTGTGCAGCCGACAAATCTCGTTTCAGAAACTATATTTTTGTGATTTAAAATTTTATTCTTAGCGGAAAGATAGCTTGTTCCAATATAGCACCAACAAATCATTGCACTTGCGGTATGTACTTTGGAAGGTTATCTAGATAAAGTATCGTAGGGGGGATTGCTTTCATGACTTCATTCCCTTTGACCCTTTCTTCAGTGTTTCGCAAATTTTGTTTAGAAACTGAACAAATGCTCAAGAGTACTTTGTATACCAGTCATATTAATAATGTGCTTTTAGTGACTTCAGAAGTATTAATCTTACATGCTAATTTTAAATGTATTACTGGAAATTTCATGATGGTTTAAGTTGTTTTTTGGAGATATATTGGTGTCCAGTTTACATTGCCATTGCTGTAACTAATACAGAGATTCATTTTAGTTTTGGGTAACCAAAAGCTAGCGATCGTTTTGTTAGCTCTTTCCAGAGCCAAAATAGTGCTCATAGGTGGTACCATATAGGTCTGATGTGTATTAACCTGTGATCAAAATGTGTCGTAGAAGATAATTACATAACTTGACGTTGAAAATAGCTGGGTGCAATGGAGTTAAAGCTAGTAACTCTTTGAAATTTTTAAATACTGGCTCATATCTTTGACTAAAATACTAGCAAAAAGGTGTACAAATTTGTTAATCGATAGACGTCTATTGAATTCATTTCGTTTGTGATTTGGAATGAACATAGTTTATCTTGGTAAATCTTATAAGGCTGTTTTTTCTGAACTCAGAAGGATATTATTTAGGTTTTGGTGTTCGTATCGAATCGATACGATTTGGTGCTCTAATTTAAATCGTCCCACCTTCCTAAAAAACCAGTTATAGAATTTCAGGAATTCATGTTACAGACAGATACACTACGTGGGATCTTGAATAAATATTTATTAGTTCACATTACTATGCTTACCGCTACATGAGCAAGTTCACAAGAGTAGAGATATAATATACAGCTAGTAGAGAAAATAATAATCACGAGAACTAAGGAAACTACCACATTAAGTCACTTGGTCAGTCTGGTTAACTGATTTACTGCCTCTTTTAGTACCAGTCAGATCGCAACATTTCGTACTTAAGAGGGAATGGAGAATTACATCTGAAAAGTTTTAGTATTATCATTCAAGGGGCTCGTAAGACTGCATTTATTCGACACGGATTTATGTGATTTAAGCACTTCAGGTCTATTAGGGAGTTTTAATTCAAGAAACCGATTTCTGAAAACCTTGATGCAGAATACGGTGACTAAAGGTATGCTTGGTAAAAGTAGACGATTTGGACAGCCATAATAGACACCAGTGGATATGGTTTGTGTGATTTATCGCAACCTCTGACTTCGTTTACGAAATGCAAGTTATCAAAATTAAATGAAAGTGGCTATTGTGTATCGCCAGTGACTTCAAATGAGGTTTAGAGATAATTACCTGTAGTGATGATTAATTATGACTTGAAGAGTATTAATATACATATTTCGGAGCGTGTGACTCGACGTAAGTCAAAAAAAGAATAACAGCGTTACGCATTTGCAATTGTTTGGGGGTGATTTAGGCAGTGGAGTAATTGGCCCCTGTACAAATACTATCATTGAGTCGTTGAAATCAGTAGTAATAAACGACTGAATGAGCTCCCCAATTATTTATTGTCAATAAGTGTATACGTCTCATCAATTATCTTCTTACCTAATGGGATATCACCGAGAACCTCAATGGAATTTCTCAATACTTGAGTACTTTCTAACCGGCTGTTAATCTTGAACAATATGTATAAATGTAGACGATGGCCAGGCACCCATAACATGTAACAACCGTCGGTGAAGGTTAACTGTCCTCTTCATTTAGTGTATTCTATGATCAGTTTTACTGCCATATCAATCCCAAAATATGTGACCACTTCTTTGAAAGCATTCAGGATTGAATATTAGCGGCATGCTTATCCCTTTTACCATAATTTACACTGTAAACCAGTTCGGCGGACTACTCAGCATTTTGTCTTTAAATAGACAGATAGACGTCTCTTCAGGTCCTGATAATGAAGATAAGTGGAACCCAAATGAATATTTCTACCCAAACATTTTCAAATACTACTCCACCTGGGCTGGTAAGACGACCAGAATAAGCGTAGTGGTTGGTGCTCGCAATTACTCTATTACCAAACGAGGTATTTAAAATATTTAATACATCTATCCAACCTCACCTGAATATCTCTCTCTCTCTCTCTATATATATATATATATATATATATATATATATGCACGTCTTGATAGTTTTATATTATTCGTAACTGCTTGTGAACACCCTGGGTAATGTAGATAATTTACGCCTTGTATAGCTATTCGCTTACAATAACCTTGTTCTGATGCGAATCAGCTTCGCCCACATACAATAACAATCAGACAATCATTTGGTACATAGTACGTAGATATTAACTGCACTTAGAACAATCGGTTTTGAGGAAATGTGTTTAAATTGCATATGATTCTATCCTTTAATAAACACAGGAAATGTGTCTAAACGGTTCATTGTAACTAAGCACAGTTTTATAGAATACTAGTTCGCCACATTAATTCCTGTGCTAATATTTTCCTGAGAACTATGAAACGGAAAGAGGTTAAAATAAGTGCATGGATATCGGTGTCTTTATTTTGTTTGGCTATGGTGTGTTGATTCTAGACTTGTTTTTTACTAGCTCCAAGAACAATAATGGACTAAGTCAGCTGGCCCATCCTATTGAAGAGTGTACGTAGTTCTGTAAGAAGTGATGGGTCATGAAAGTAAAATGAATGTCGTCATGTAAAGTTCAAAATTAATCGGATCAAATGATATGATGCTTGGTAATAGGGGATCGAGGTGACAGGATCCTGACAGTTTTGTGTGTTGCACATGTTGTCGTCATACTATAGAAAATAAACATTGCTTGATGAATCGAGCGTTTTAAAGAGGTGAATGCCATTTCGAAAGTAAACAGATCCAGTGTAGCTAACGTACTTTAGTGTCAAGTAGCTCAGTCGTATCTAAGCTTTTTCAATTTCTATCCAGTTGAAGGAAATTGAAATGCCCCTGTTAACATGATATCACTCACTGGTTAGCAATAGTTAAAAATTCGGAAATAGAATCAAAGCTGGTCTAGATTTCGTGAAGCTCATACACATAATAAAGAAATAATATATTTGTAATATCCCAGTGAGTAGAAAAATCGAATTTTCTAGCATTTCGTGACCACTTAATATTCTTATTGTTCCGTTGTACTATTTAAACTTGGTTTACTTTTAATTTAGTTATTTATTCTCTGAAGAAGTGGCTTACACTATGAGTCACAAAATGTCAGGGAATTTAATTTTTCTACTCATTGGGATATTACAAATATATTACTTATTTATAACAATCTACCCAATACTCAATTTATTCGAAATTATCAAATCAAGACTTGATAATGATACCTTTATACACATAGGGTTTGGATTTCTAATAAAAGTTTTGGTCCTAATTTTCTACTAGTGCATAAGAAATATCGAAAAACCAATTGGTAATATAATGGTGTCAATCATCTTAAAATCACAACAGTATGGTCTACGTGTGTTTGTTTCAGGTTGTAAACTGATGAAGAATGTATGAGATCATTCTTCCATAATTAATTCACAATTTTTAGGCCATAACTACTCCTTATGTAAGCTATTATGCAAATATCCTGTAAATATTTTACTTTAAGAACCGTTAGCTCGACGTGTGGAGCATTCTGACTACATATTCTTTGAGTATGTTTTCTTTAAAGTATAGAAGACATCTGGATTACACGTCGCATAACATATGAACATTAGCGTTAACAACCGAATTTCAACTAGCAGCTTGTGACTTAGTACTTTACTATATCTTGGTAGTCTTGTATTATAATGAACACCATCTGACGGTTATATATATTCTTTGAAAAATCCAATTGTACTATCTTGTTGATAATATAAAGGTTACCGGTTGTTTATGTCATGAATTTAATACTGGGAACTGTTAACTCTAATTCATCGGGTGCTTAGACTCATGTGTAAGGTCTAATCACGTTTTTCGTTTTATGTTTACTTTCGCTTGGTTGATACGTAATCCAGATTTTTCAAATTCATCACTGTTCTACAATTTTGTTTTTTTTTTCTATGAATGTGCACTGCTTTTTTTGAAAAAAAATCATTTTTATCAATAGATATTTGTGTATACGTACAGTAAATATTTGTTACATTTTTTCTAGTCGAGTGCAGCAGCGATGCATATGCACTGATTAGATTTGATCAGTTTTAGAAACGGAAGTAGAGGAAATGAATTAATAAATATTAACTGTGACTATATTATCATTAATCACTTATGTGAACAACCGTTTAAATCCTTAATGATAATTACCTAACATTTAATCATAACTTCAGGCGATTGGGAATGATTCGTAGTTAAACAATTTTTATTTATTTATTTAAACACATAAATATTGGTACAAGGAAGCACCAGATAAATATGCGCCTCACAAATCTCATTCGATTTGTGTGAGGGCTGTGATACTGCTCAGGTGCCCAGACTGAAGCAGGTGGTTTTCTTAGGGGGCCACACCCGGAGCCTTTGACCTGAATGTCTGATCCACAAGGCAGTGGAGCATCGTGAGGAGATGAGGTCCCATGGCAGCCGGTGATCAACGGTTGATTCGTACGCCATTTGTTCCCTCAGCAAAATACTGGAGCCAGCCCATGTGCACCATTGGTTTGGAATCAGGGTTTTCCAACTCCCCTAGGTGAACTTTCCATGTCCACCAACCCGGTTAAAGCGCCGGACATTCGCTTTTCGTCCTCTCACTTTCGTAAACAACCCCCGCCGCGAGAAGGCAGTGAGTAGGACTTCCCTGGCTGAGTCTATATATTCGCGTGGCCATGTGAGAGCATTTTGAGAGGGAGAGGTGACTCTCCCCACTCTCGGCCGTACCAGGGCATTTATTTAACTAAAAGACGAGGTAGTTTTTTAAAACGGTTAAACGTAGCTAAACGGTTGGCAGTATGCTATCTAGGGGACAATGGCCTGCCATATACAATAAGGTAACTCTATTGTCGTCAGTTCAGTAAGCAGTCAACGTAGATTTCAATGTAGGAGACACAGTTCGAAGAACTAAACGTAATAGTTTTTAATAGTCTAGTTCTGGGTTTATGCTTAATGGAAACTTTTGATATTGATAAACATTTCATTCTCAGAGAGCAAATTTACTGCTATGCTTGTAGTAGTGTTGCAATCAATAAAAATGCTATCACTAACTAAATCAACTTTAAAGTAATTCTTTCACATACTTTTATTTTATAATTGATTATGGTAACAAAAGTTTGTATGTCGACCTTACTAAACTCACTGAGATACAAACAGCAAACTACCGTCTTGCTGGATAGCTAGTCATGGAGATGTCGAGCGTAGGATTACATTTATAAGTAATGTTGACTGGGCTTGATAGAGGGTCAAAGGAGTATCCTAGCAATCTATTTGGATATTGACCTGATTTTTGTCCTTGAACTAAACTTTAGCGTAGTTAGTCTACATTACAACATACGTTCGCGTGTAGAGTTGTAGGATAAGATGACTGGATTTTCATTTCCAGTCTAGGTTTCTTCATTCCTTAGCTCGTTTCAGAAATTTTCTTAGTCCTTTATATTACACAGTATTCCATCTGTTGTTTATTCATCTATTTTTGCACATTATTTCTGATTATCCTGTCCCCTTTTCAAACTTTGACATATTTAACCATTGAAATATTGCACAAAATTATGTTCTATTTACCCAAAGGTTACACGATTTGTGATTATTCTCAGTTGAAACTGAAATTCCTCTGTTCATCCATTTGGAGAAGGAAAGGTAGTTCACTGAAAAAAATTCCTGACGACTTCATATGCTAAAGCTGTGTAATTGTACAGTCATATATTTATATATATGGATTTGGTGCTTCAAAAAACGTGCTCCTCTATTATAGGTTTTTTTCCAAAGAATCATTTCAAAAGACCAAACGTTCTTCAGTCGGTTTGTGTTTTAGATTTCCCCCTAAATTGCTCACTTTATATCTTTGAAGTGCTTTATTCCCAATTTATCATCAATATGCTTTTTTATTCAAGGTGTGTGCTGTGTGTTATGAAAGTTTTGAAGTAGTTTGGGATCATGAAGAAGAAGAATGGATGCTACAAGATGCTATTCGAGTTGATGACAAGGTGTATCATCCTATTTGTCAAGAAGATGCGGGAAAAGAATTCTCAATTAAAGATGTAAGTTGAAAGTATCACAAGTCTATTTCCCTTCTCATATTAACTTGTTTAAAATTGTTCTTTTTTATTACCTTTATTTTACATTTAACTGCATATCTGGAAAAAGTGATTGTTTGTATACTCATTCTTAAATAAATGGTAGATTTAAATAAAATTACCATGAATTCTGAAATATCTGATAAATCCTGATTAATAATATTTCATTTTCATACACTAACCACTGAATTCCCTAACTAATTCTTTGATTTCGAAAAGCCTGTAATGAACAAACAATAAAGCGAGTTCGGAGTATACGTTCACTTAGTAACAGATTTCCGGTCGCATCTGATACCTTGACTTGGTAGTCGGATTGGAATATCTTGATGATCTAATCGAGCTATATTGACTAAAACTTGTTAGTTAGGTGCTAATACGTACATAGTTAGCGAGCTGTCAGACTAAAAGTGCCAAAGTCAAAGCTCGAGAGCAAAGTCGTGCTGGAAAATACACTTAAATTTGATCGTAATAAAGTATTTCCTTAAAAAAGACTAGCGTCTCCAACGATACTACATCCTCGCAACAAAAGGAATGGGTCAGAGAAGGTTACGTCTAAAACTATCGCTTCCCATCTTAACCCACAGGTCCCTGTCGCCGACGGTCAGTTTTAAAAGGTACAAAGCTGACACATCTGGGTCAATTCACATGAAGGTTATATATGGTAAAACCAAGCAGTTATCTTTTGAACTCTGCGGTCACACTCCCAGGTTAAAACTACCCCTTCCTGAGTTTCCATCTCTGATCCTTTAAAAAAGAAGTATCCTCCAGGAGTGTGTGTAATGGGAAAGCGACAACCACCCTCATACCTCTAACAGCACTTGACTAATAACAGATTATTCAGCTATCTTGAATTCTACATATTTGTGACAATGAGATGACTAACTTGATATTTTCCCCCAAAATGTTATGCACTAAGACGTTTTTAAGCTCTTGGATTAATGTTACTTTTGCTATTTGGTCGTACATTAGATATTTTGTTCATCACTATTTGCTTTACACAATTTATATTCAAATTTATTCCAGGAAAAGAAATTTCCTTCACCTGATCCTACTGAAAATAATACTGAATCAACTTCCTCACCTGAAGGTGTTAAGGAAGAAGCCGGGGATGAAAATGCATTTACTTGTGATGATTTTTCAACGAATACAGTTATTCCTGGTCTTTCACCCTCTACCTCTCCACAACAATGTGAATCAGAGATGTTATCGTCGAATACGGAACCGGAATGTGAATTTAGTACTTCAGTGAAAACTGAGTCAATTTTATCCAACTCAACAATTAGTGCAGACCCTTTGGCTGCTTTAAAAGCTGTCTTAAAAGGTGATATATCTTCACTAAGCGCTCAATCTCACTAACATCTGAACCAATTCACTTATTATTATTAATATACCTTTGTACATATACTACTATACAGATTTCTATTCATATAAAATAGTGTATCAATTCATTTTTTGTAGAGCTTGTAAATATTTCATACAAATAAATGCTACTATTTTACACTGTTATATGTTATTAGAAATGCTCATTGGTTAATTAAATATAACACGGTTGTCATATATGTAAACTGTTCTTCTGTTTTGTATTTTTACTAAATTTGTACTAAGTAGATTTACTGTAGTCAAATTATTTCATGTTACACTTCAAGCAGAAATAGAGTATAAGTCTAAACAAAAGAAAACAAGATGTGATTATGTACTACAACGTTAATAGTAAGACCGAAATATTTTTGTTTATTCCGTCTCACTATGATGATATTATGTGGTAACATAGGTTGGCTCATATTCACTCCAGACTATGCTTATTGTGACTGGTCAACCTGCATTGAATTTTAGGTGTATTGTAATTTAGTTTAATCTTATAAAAAGACTGCTCCAGCCTATATATCTAATGAACAGATCGGCAACTGTTTGCTACAACCATGCTCAAAGAATGTTGATTTTTTGGCAAGTACCAACTTTCCACATAGTTATTGTCATGGTTATCACCAATGTCGACACAAATAACTATGGACTCAAATGAACAATATCTTCACCAGCTGTGATTGCAGACTCGATTGAAAGCTGTTTCCTATTCCAAAGATCATGTTTAGGCTCTAATCGTTGCTCAGTGCGATCACGCGTTTATCTGGATCCTACTGGACCCAAAACAGCTACATCAAGAAAACCTTTTATAGTTCATGTCAACGACAAGAGGTCAAGAGTGTGTTTCAGATACAACTGGAAAAGTAGTTCGTCAATCATGAAAGTGGTGTCTATACCTAGGTGGCCCAGCATGATGTTTCAACATCAGTAAAAACAGTAGTGAGATCTAGCAGCAACTTAAACCAAGTGGTTAAGAAACACCAGCTGACTTTTGTGACACTTACAGGTGCTCGGAAACTAATCTCGTCAGGCCCCGAAACTGAGAAGTAGCGAAGACAGTTCAGACATAGATTGACAAAAAGTCTACGTGATGATTGTGAGCAGTCGAAGCGAAATAACGGGCAAAGTAGCGGTGTTGAATAACTATTCAGACTCATCGTAGAAACAGGTATTAGAAATCCAATTGTTGGTGAGAGTTTCAGAACAAGACAGGACCATTATTCACACTCGGTCTAGATTAGAACAATTTAATCGAAAGTTCAAATTAGCCTGCTGCTATTCACTAATTCATAAACAACCCGAATGGGAGATTAGAATACCCTCCCGGACCCTTAATGAAACTGAAAAGTGTATGACTAATATAAATTGCGGTAGAGCTATTGTCCATCATGGGTTGACCCCAGAGATCTTTAGGGATGGTTGTGTAGTTTCAGTTTGTAGATTGAGATATTAGCTAGTATCTGGGATCGCATCTGACATCAAGAATGCTGGTCGTCTAAGCTTATAAGAAACGATAGAAGTCCTTGTAACAACCCCAGAGCAATCGGTTTGATCAGTGTAATATCCAAAGTACTAGCTTCAATCATCATCCGACGGAAAAGTCAGGTTGCTAGTATTTGATCATAAATGCATTTGAGGTATGGCCCATGTATGTTGGGATTATAGATAAAACAATGCTGATTTTAGACTCAAGGGACTAAGTAAGGATGGTGATTCGATTGATGAGTTAGTAAATCTTCATTAACAAAGATGGTAGCGATATGTGTTGCCTATTCCTAATCACCAGGTACCTTCATACACTATAGTAGATAGTGCGGAAGTAGGTTAGAAGAAAGTGATGGTCAGACCAATATGTGGTATCAGTCCATGAGGTTATTAAGTGTCAGACCAGGTGGTGTAGGTAGGCGTAAACTACCTGGTTGTAGTGCGATTATTGTGACCATGGTTAAAGTACTTGAACGACGTGGTTCAGATGCATCCAATCTTTTTCTTCCCTTAAATGTCAATTTTTTAATTAACCTGAAATATGGTTTTTATTTCATAAATCCATATTTTTTCGAATTCTTTCTTTTATATCTAATGTTTTCTACTACCACCAATATTGTTACTACTTCTACTACTGTGGAATCTCTCTATGCTTAAGTGATGTAACAATTCGAACCAATGTAGAAATGTGCTAGGTTCTACTTTCTGTATAACTGACCAACTAATACACGAGACTTTGGTTTTTTCATAATTGCCATGATTATTTCCAACGCATGAGTGTTTCCAACTGGCTTATAACTGACTGACTGATTCCTTGTAGATCAGTCTTCAATATGCCTATCAGTCTAAACTCGGTGTATTTATGAATAATTTTAAAATCTGACTCATTTTATTATTACCATGTAGGAAGTCGTGTTAAGATATCTGAATATTTGACTAATCATTCTACAGCTGTTAAGAATGAAGTTAGTTCTTTTCACTGATTGATTTTTAATTGAGGGTCAAAATAGCACTGGTATGCTGTATAGGGCAATTTAAAAAATGTGCACTCATTACCTCAACACAGAACAAACCAAAGACATCTAAATGCACGATGAGTGAAGTAACTAGAACAATTCATCATAGTTTAAAAATGATATACAATTAATCAAGTAGTTCATAGGAAAGGCGTTTTTGTATGTTTGTGTAACTATGTATTAATGGATTCTAGGCCTTTGGTAACCTATCACTGTTTTCGAGAGCGAAGTAATATTTACATATCATTACTGTAAAGCTTCATTAGGAAAGATCATAAACATAAGATTGACATTCAGTATATTGATATACATTCCAAATATATTACCACGGATTTTTGTGAGATCTACATTGAAAAATGAAGTTTTTCAATATAAGAGTAATGTCCAACATAAATTACAATATAATTGAGATCATGAGTCAATTGAAGCTAGACCACTATGGAAATCCTGGAAGCACTGGACGGCCGTTTCGTCCTATTGTGAGACTCATTCAACAGTGCGCATCCACGATCCCGCATCACGAGATTCGAACGGCCGTCCAGTACTTCCAGATTTTCCATGGTAATCCAGCTTCAGTTGACTCATGATCTCAATTATATATAATTACCCCCTTCTGATAAAATACAATACACTAAATAGGAATTTTATTATTATATATTATTATATTTTATTCTAAATGAATACATATTTCTACTTTCATGAAATTCATCCTAGTAAATATGCTAACTAATGATTTAATTGTTCTAATATTCAATTGGTCAACAATTATCACTATCATACAATCATTACAATCAGTTGTATAAGGTTACTATGGTTATATTCGTGTCATATGAATAAATCTTACTGTTTAAAAAATTATCACGACACATTATTCTACACCAATGTTTATAGAAGTTAATTAATATTATCTTAATTATCAGCTCTTACTATTATTGTTATTATGTATATAAGAGCTTTCGTCTAAATTAGAGCGAACAGTTTCACAGTATTTAGGCGCCGAGTTGATGTAAGACATTAAATAGGAATAATATATTTGTAAAATTTCAGTGAATGAATTTGGAGTAAATCCAACGTTTCGCCTGTCAATATAGTCCAAGCTTTTACAAGGACCAGATTGCCAGGCGAAACTTTGCATTTACTTCATATTCATTCACTGAGATTTTACAAATATATTATTCCTATTTAATGTATTATTATGTAGGATATTATATTCATATAGACAATTCTTGTAATACATCAAATCTCATAAACAATAGTAGTAGTAGTAGTAGTAGTAGTAGCAGTAGTAGTAGTAGTAGTAGTAGTAGTAGTAGTAGAAGTAGTAGTACTGTAGTAGTACTGTACATTCAATCTGTTTATTAGTTTATCACTTTAGAACTAAGTTAACAATATTTAGAAAAATTCTTAAATGTTATTATGATGAATATTATGTATGCATAATGTCGAATTTACGATTCAGAAACATGATCCATAACAGAAGTATGGTCTAATTTCCTTAAAAATAAAGTGGTTGAAACCAGTCTTTAAGAATTGATAAAACGAAGAAGACTTAGGCTCCGTCCGACGATGATACAATGTTAAGTAAAGGATCATTTACAGAAAATTTTGAGTGATCCTTTGTAATCCTTTATTAAACATACAGGTTTTAGGGAATCGGATTCAATTGTGTGTATTTGGAATAGAGATTGAACAACAAATTCTTTCGGGCAATTATTATTTTATTTTTGAAAAAATATGAGATTTTTCAATATATTTGTTAAGTCCTATGACCCGTCAAATATCACGTGACAAAATTGTTAATCAGAATACTGACTGATATGCCAAGCAGCACTAGGGGCCTTCAGTCAACACTGAATCTTTATTGATCCTCTGCATAGCAGCTTCTCGCCTAGCCCAGCCTATTCAGTTCAGAACACAAATATTAGGCTCTGCTATATGGTTAGTAAATTTCAGACATACGTGATCTATATATAATCGGACCAGGCTACATCACACCTTAAAATGGAAAATAATAATTATACAAGGTCAAGCCAAAAGTAGCTGTGAGTGTGAGATACTGTATCTGATCAATTAAGAATAAGTTAATGGTGGTAAATTGTATAGCAGTAACCAATAGGTCAAATAAAAGCCTATGATAAAAGGAATATGAATACTTATATAATCTACTTACTTTACAATTGTCCGACAAGAACATATTTAACAGTAGTCAATGAATAGATCCTAGCAGTTACCTTTAAGAGTTATTCCTAATTTCATTTTTACAAGTTTAGCGGTAACTGTTTTATTGGATGGTGTCTTTTGTTGGTCTATTTGCTTGATAAAAACGATCTTTAATTTAGCGTCAGTTCGCATATGACCCCGTAACAAGTAGAAAGTTCAAAGGGATTTTCATTTTTCGAATAACTCTCTCTTTGTGTGTAGAAATTATAAATGGTTTTTGTACTTGATGTAAGTACCTTTTCTAATATATACCACTTACCCACCACCACTTAAAAAATAGCTATACATAGTAGCCACGGAGAATATTGTCACTGAAATATATTTCGTCTATGAAAATAACCAAAGTCTTGAAGATGAGTAAATCATTATTGTGTCCACAGAACTACGCAATATTTCATTTTTCAATAATATTATTCAGCGATTTTGAAATATTTGACTCGTTGTTCTGAAATTAATTCTCATGCTTTAACAGTTCAATAAATAATTCTGATATCTGAATTAAAAATTGCTAAAATTCCGATAGTGTAAATCTAAAAACATGCAAATCAAATGTAAAAAATTCATTTCTCATCCTCCTAAACGTGCTTACA